TTCCCCGTGGTGAGTCGGCCCGCGGCCACCCCCGCTCGCTCGCCGTCCCTTCTCTGTTCACTCACTACCCCCCCCACTCTGCCCACTCACCCCTCCCTCCCTGGGCGGGAGAGCTTGGCATACAGGTGGTGACAGGTCACAGCCGCCCCTGCTGAGGACGCTTCTGCGCCCAGAGGAGGAGTAGAGAAGCGCTCCCTCAGCCTGGGGAGTGGGCCAGCCAGGGAGGCTGCCCAGAAGTGGGGGCATTTGAGCTGGGTTCTGAGGGATGAATAGGAGAGTTCAGGCAGAGAAGAGGAGGGCTCAGCACAGTGTGCAGGGTGCCAAGCCTGGTGTGTTCTAGGAATGATGGTGGTTTGTTCCACTTAGTGGGGAGGGGAGGATGGGAAGGTAGGATCCGCTGTGAGGGGATGATTTGATTAGATTTTTAGGAAAAACAAAACCAAACCTGGCTGCCTGTGGAGGAGAGCTTCAAGGCCCTCCCGGTGGGGAGCCCAGTGTGGGCATGGAGACACCGGACCCTGGACCGAGTGATCTGTAGAGTGGACCCTTGGGGGCTGGGTGACAGGCTGAGGATGCCAAGGGAGCAGGCAGAAGGGGGGCCTTGACCCAGCCCCTCTTGACCTGCAGCCTCATTGGGTGGGGCTTGGAAGGGGGAGGAGTGACCGTTCCATGGCTGGCTGGCTGTGCCCTCACTGCGGTGTCTGGAGGCTGGGGCCGGCCCCCTTACCGCGCCGTGGCCTCTGCCCCTACAGTACAACAGCCCTGTGGCCGGTGTGCCAGCCCCTGCCACGGCCGAACACAGGCCCTTGCCCAAGGACTACATGATGGAGTCCGTGCTGGTGACCCTCTTCTGCTGCCTGCTCACCGGGCTCATTGCCATCGTCTACTCCCACGAGGTAGGTGTGGGTAGGCGGAGAGCTGGGTACCGCCCCCGGGCATGAAGCCGCCAGTGCCCTGGGTGGGGTCCACACAGCCCCTTCCCCAGCAACTGGGTCTCTGATATTTCCTCGTCAGAAGGGTGGCAGGCACTGGGAAGGCACTGCCCAATTGTCTGTGGAAACCTTGCTCTCTCCTGTCTCTGTCCCCTCCCACTCCAGATCTGCTGTAGACAGTTTGGCTGAAACAATTCACATTGAAGGTGTGAATGATTGAGGCCAAGGAACTGGCCATCCAGCGGGGTCTTGTGTTTAATGGGGTAGAGACTGCCATCCATCCATCCACTCATTTCTTCTATCCATCACCTCCACCTGTCCACCTACCTAGCTGCCTGTCCGTCTACTCACCCACTCACCCACCCACCCACCCATCCATCCACCAACCACCTCTCTAGTCTCCATCAATTCATCCATCCATCCACCCTTCTATTCATCTGTTAACACACCCATCCGGCTACTCATCCACCTACCCTTCCCTGTCTGTCCACCTACCATCCATCCATCCACCCACCTCCCCTTTCTTCTCCCTCCCTCCTAATTGTTACTGACCATTACCAGGCAAGGGGTTAGGCCCTGGGAACTCAGTGTGAAGCCAGTGTGAGGACATTCTGAGAGACAGAGTAGGAAGTCCCTGGGCTTCTGCTCAAGACTGACCTGGCAACAGCCCTGACTCCCTTCTGTGGTCAAGTTCTCCGGTCGTAAGCAGGACAGGACTGTGGGGAGAAAGCCTCTCCCAGAGCAGCTCAGAGGTGGGGCCCTGGAGGCTGCTGCCTGCCTGTAAATTCTGGCTCCACCACCAGCTGTGTGGCCCCAGGGTGGGTCACTTCTCTGAGCCTTGTTTCCTCATCTGCAAGGATGACACCCAACACAGGGTTGTGAGGCTCATAGGAGAGGGGACACAGGGTGGATCTGTGCCAGGCCCAGGGCAGGTTCCCAAGAGCTGGCAGCCACCAGCTCCATCACTCCTGCTCCTTTGTGAGCTGTGGCCCGGGCAGGCCCCGGACCGTCTCCCGGGTCAGCTTCCCCGACTGTGCCCGGGCCTGGCCGACGGTGTCGCTCACCCTCCCCGTCTCGTTGCAGACTCGTGCGGCCCTGCGCAGGGGGAACCTGGCCCAGGCTGAGGACGCCTCTCGCAAGGCCCGCTCGCTCGTGCTCTTCAGCCTGCTCTTTGGGGTCTTTGTGTCCACCAGCTGGGTCATCTACGTGGTGGTAGCGCTCTACCTGCCTTGACGGCTGGTGGCTCCTTCTGGGACGCCAGGACGCCCAGGGACTCCCAGAGACTCCCGACCCAGCCAGATTCTTCCTGCGGACTCCGATCCCTACCAGTGGCCATCTGCCACCCAGAAGGGACTGGGGACCAGAAGAAGGTGGGCTTTGCAGCCCTCGGCACACTGGTGGCTGGGCTTCCACCCCTGCAGGTGGCCCCTGGGCCCAGGCCCCGCCGTGGGGTGGGGGCCGAGGTCGTCCTGGACCTGCGCTGGCAGCGCCGCCAGGGCCCTTGCCTTCGCCTTACCCCTAGAGCCCGTCAGAGGGACCAGCGAGGACACCACAGCCGCCGCCTTCCCACCCCCAGCCCGGCTCTGTGACTGCAGGGCAGAGCTGCTGGTGTTCCTTCTTTCCTGAAGCGGGGTGGAGAGGGGTGGCCTCCTCTCTCCTTGCTCACTCCTGGCTGGTCGTTCTGGGCCCCAGCCAAGTCTGGGAGGCAGGCTCTCCTGCTGACCCCACGTCCAGAAACCAAGACGTCTGGTCAGTAAACAAAGAGCAACGCCCTGGGCAGAGCTTCGTGCTGCTGCCTCGGGGCCCTTGCTTGAGGGTGAGCGGGAGGTCTGTCCGCCGGCGACCGGGCTCCAGGGCGCCCTTCTGAGATGCTGTTCACACACGGGCAGCTCTGGCGGGGATCTGGTCTTCTGCACACACCAGGAAGTGCGGTGTCTGGCTGGTGGGGAGCACGTGGGGAGCGGAGCGGCTGGGTGCTGAGGGCGGGGATTTCTGTAGGGTCCTTCATGGCCAAAGGTGGTAGCGGAGCAGGGAGATCCATCTGCACAGAGAGAGGAGGAAGGTGCCCCCACCCAGGCTGAGCCATAAAAAATTGACAGCTCAAGTCAAATCAGGTACTTTCTGAGCACCCACTGTGCGCTGCTTGTGGCCCTGGCACCCACAGCGGGAGCTGAAGCAGGATGACATCCCCCCTCAGCTGGAGGGATGTGGATGAGGAAGTAAGTGATGGCTGACAACGCCTGGGAGTTCTAGGACATGGGGCTGGTCCAGAGTGAGGACAGCAAACCCTCAAATGCATGACAGCCGCAGGCAAGGAGGAGGGAAGCGTATTGTAGGCATCCTTAGATGCCAGGAAGTATGTGGTAGTCTTCCCCAGTCACAGCTATTCCTGTTACCAAATTCATAAGCAAAATCACAATAGAAATCGTCTAGACCATTGTTCCTTGAACTTGAGAGTCTATATGAAACACCTGGGAAATCTTATTAAAATGCAGATCCTGATTCAGGAAGTAGGACCCAAGGTTCTACATTTCTGACGAGCTCCCCAGGTGATGCTGGAGCTGCAAGAACTGACAGCCTGTGGTGCGCTAAGTGGGAAGTTTCTAAAACCAGGATCAAGCCGTGGACGCCCCCTAGTGTCTCTCTTCAACCCTGAGGTTCTGGCTAATGTGAAGCACAGCAAAGAGAAATTCGCAGTGTGAAAACTGGAAGATACAGAATGAGTCTCTAGCTGGAATATTCAAGAGTCAATTGAAAACGAGAATAAAGGAACTCAGAAAAGTGGATACAAAATGTACAATAGTCAACAGCAATATTCGGTTAAAAGTGGAAAAAATTTAAAATTCCACTCACAATAGTGATAAACAGTAAAACCTCGGAATAAACAAGAAAGGTCCAGATTCACATGAAGAAAAAAATTTTAAACAATTGGCAAAAGACAAGAAAAAAGACTAAGCAGAATATCTGGATAGGAAGATATAATGTCATAAAAGTATCTGGCTTTCTTACAGCGATTTAATGAAATTCCAGCAAGAAAGCCAAGCTTTTAAAACTGACAAAAACGTTTTAAAAAATTAATATGGAAAGAAAATGGGCAAAAATTGCTAATACGTTTTTAACAGTTGAATGAGGAGGACTGTCTTCACCCAACACTGAAACTTACCATAAAGCTCCGATAATCTAGGCGTGGTGTGGCTTTGCCCCAGAGGTGGCTCAGTGGACCACAGGGCGTCCAGAAAGCAGCCCAGGTAGGGATGGGAAGTTACTGTGTGACCGAAATGGTGTTTGCATCCAGTGCGCCCGGGAGGGCTCGCAGTCAGCAGAGCTGACTACCTGGATGAGAAAACAGTCTTCTCATGTTGTACATAAACATAAATTCCAGATGGAGTCAAGAGCCAGGTGGTAATAAAGCCAAGCTCTGCTAGCAAGCGATGAACGCTTAGGAGAATATTCGTATAACTTCAGGGTGCTGGGGCAGCGTGGAGGGGCGGCCTCTTAAAATCTGGAAAACCTTAAAGGAAAGACTGATAGGTTGAGTTCTGTGTAGATGGGGAAAGTACAGCCTTAGACCATGAGATGATTTTTACTTATCGGATTGGGAAGAAATGAGGACTGATTCCAGATTTGGTGACGGCCTGGCCCTCCCGTTTATTCCTGTGTTTCGCCACAATCCTGTTGGAAAGGAGACTGCTGGTACCTGTTAGTAACATATGCACCATGTACGGATATGCATGTAAATGCGAAGAACAGAGTCTGGAAGGATATATTCCAAACTGCTGGGAGTGGAGCCTTTGGGGAGGGACTGGGGCTGGGACGATTTGTGCAGAACATTGCTGAATTTAGAAATACGGATGTACTCGTGCAATTAAAAAACAAGTGGAAAATGTGCATGCCTCTTGACCCAGTAATTCCAGTTTTAGAATTCACTGTGGGGAAGAAGGCAGTCTGTTTCCAACAGACGTTTATCAGTGTGGTTAGCGACTATGCTGAAGTACCGTGGAGGAGAGGTGGGTGGGGTAAACCTGAAAGGAAAACGCTGATTACATCAGGGCGCACCCTGATTTCAGAGATGTAAAAATGTGCGTGCCTTAGAGTCACTCTGGTGTGGCGTGGAGGTGTCTGACCTGGCAGAGAGGGAAAGGCAGGCTTTCCCGAGAAGGCTGGGAACATTTAAAGCTTTGATGAGATGCTGCCGTTGCAGAGTGGCTGTGTCATTTTGCTGTCCCACCAGCAAAGGCATTCCAGTTGCTCCACACAGTCATCAGTCCCTGGTATTTGTCACTCTTTGACATTTTAGGGCTTCTGGTGGTGAAAACTGTCACGGTATTTCAGCGTGGCTTGAATTTGCATTTTTCTGCCAGTCATATGCCCGTCAGCTATTTGGATCTCTCTCCTTACAGTGTACGTGTTCAAACCTTGTGCCCATTTTTATGCTGGATGGCCTTCTCCTCGTCAGTTTAGAGGAGTTCTTCAACGTTTTCTAGGCGTGGGTCTTGTGCAGAGTCAGGGAATGCAGATGCTCTTCCCCACTGTGTAGCTTCCGTTTTCATTCCCTTAATGATGTCATCGGATGAAAAGAAGTTCTTGATTTTAGTATCTTCAAGTTGATCTTCTCCTTTATGGATCATGCTTTTTGTGGCTTGAGAAAAATTTCCCTACTCCAGAGTTCTTATATTGTCTTCAAGATCTTGAAGCTTTAATGGTTTATTTTCACATCTAGATCTGCACCCATCTGGACTAGATCACAGAGGTCTGTCTATTCTTGTCAGCACCACCTTGCTTCATTACTTGATGGTAAGTCTGGATATTGGGTGGCTCAAGTCCTCCTGCCTTCTTGGAGAGTCTTGGTTATTTAAAATCATTTGTATTTATAATAAATTTTAGAATTAACTTGTCAGTTTTCACTTTCCAAAAAGCATTGGGGTTTTGGGTATGATTGCTTTAAATCTATAGATTAATTTGGGGACAACAGACATCCTTACTGTACTGAGTTTGCCAACAAACACGATGAATTTCCTTATTTGTTTAGTAGGTCGCTTAAAACAGTTCCCTTGTGGGAACTCAGGGGTAGAGTGCATGCTTAGCAGGCATAAGGTCCTGGGTTCAATCCCCGGTACCTCCTCTAAAAATAAATGAACATAATTACCTCCCCCCAAAAAAAACAAATGGGAAAAAAAGGTCCCTTGATTTTTTTTTTTAGTTTTTTTTGTGCATAAATTTGTACATTTTGTTAGTATTCCCTAGGTATTTGATTTTTTGACGCTATTATAAAATGATCACTTCTATATATTTTTTGTTACTTGCTAGTGTACAAAAGTACTGTTGATGCTGGATGATTGACTTTGAACCCAGCACTCTTTCTAAATTTGCTTATTAATTCTGATAACTTATCTGCAGATTCTATTGAGTTTTGTATTTACACAGTACTATCAACTATATGTAATAAACTTTTTGCCTCCCTTTCCATTCCCTACTCTCTTGTTTGCTTTCCTTACCTTCCCGAACTGGCTGGGACCCGAGTGCAATGCTGGATAGCAGTGCTGGCAGCGGGCAGACTTACCCTTTTCCTTGTCTCAAAAGGAAGACGTCAACATTCCATTAAAAAAAAAATCCGTTTTCACATTAAGGAAACGCTCTCTGTTCCCGTTTTGCTAAGAGGTTTTTCCTTTTTTCAGTCATGCGCGGATGTTGAATTCTATTAAGTTACTTTCACGCATCTACTAAGAAAATTATCTGATTTATTCTGTTAACACGGTGACTTAGTGTTGATTTTCAAATGTTAAAGTAACTTTTCATTCCTGGAATGAACCTGTCTTGATCGTGACATACTATATCCTTTGTATATATTGAAGATTTGGTTTGTAGATACTTTGTTTGGGATTTTTGGCCCCTGTGTTTGCAAGTGAAATTGGTCTGTAATTTTCATTCTTGTTACGGGTTTGGTAGCAGGGCTATGATGTTGACTTTATTGTAAGAGTTAGGAAGGGTTTCTCATTTTCTTCTTTTTGGAAGTGTGTGGGGTTAGAGTCATTTCTTATCATCTTTCTGAGGGGGGGGTTAAAACCCCCACTGGGTCACAGATCTGTCCATTTCTCCAAGTCAGCCCTCGCCTTATTTTCAGGCCGTGTAATTAGATGCATGCATATTTAGAAATTGTTAACTTTCTGTTGAGTGTACTTTATATCGTTGCAAGTGTCTCGTTTAACTCTAGTAATGCTTTTTGCCTTAAAGTCTATTTTTCTGACATTAACATAGTTATGCTGGTGGGGACAGTACAGCTCAGTGGTGGAGCGTGTGCTAGGCAGGCATGAGGTCCTGGGTTCAATCCCAGTACCGCCATTAAAAAAAAAATAAACAACCGTAGCTATACTCACTTTTGGGGTGGGAGCTGTACTTGAAAGTCAAAATATGGAAAAGCTAAGACTGCAGTCTTTCTGAACCTTCTGTTTTAGGTAGGTACGTCTCATTAGCAGCATGCAGGTGTTTGTTCGACCGTCCACCTTTCAACTGGGGAATTTAGTCCATTTATTTAATGCAGTTGCAAATATATACACACACATATATTTGGGTTTGAATCCACCGTCTCACTCTGCTTTCCAGTGGTCCCACCCGTGCTGGGCTTCTTTGTTTCTTTTCTTGCCTTTTTTTTTTTGAAGTCATGATTTATTTTATTTTAGTTTTTTTAGTTGAAGTACAGTCAGTTTACAATGTTGTGTCAATTTCTGGTGTACAGCATAATGCTTCAGTCATACATATACATACATACATTCCTTTTCATATTTTTCATTTTCATTATAGGACCAGATAGTAAATTTAATTCCCTGTGCTCTACAGTATGAACTTGTTTATTTTATATATAGTAGTTAGTAGCTGCAAATCTCAAACTCCCAATTTATCCCTTCCCGCCGCCTTTCTCTCCTGGTAAGCGTAAGTTTGTCTTCTATGTCTGTGAGTCTGTTTCTGTTTTGTAAATAAGTTCATTTTGTCTTTTTCCTTTTTTAGATTCCACATATAAATGAATATTTCATATGATATTTTTCCTTCTCTTTCTGACTTCAGTTAGAATGATAATCTCCAGGTCCATCCATGTTGCTGCAAATGGTGGCATTCTTTTTTATGGCCAAGTAGTATTCCATTGTATAAATATACCACAACTTCTTTATCCAGTCATCTGTCGATGGCCATTTAGGTTGTTTCCATGTTCTGGCTATTGTAAATAGTGCTGCTATGAACATTGGGGTACATGTATCTTTTCGAATCAGAGTTCCCTTCGGATATATACACAGAAGGGGGATTGCTGGATCATATGGTAGCTCTATTTTTAGTCTTTTGAGGAATTTCCACACTGTTTTCCACAATGGCTGCACCAAACTACATTGTGTAGAAGGGCTCCCTTTTCTCCACAGCCTCTCCAGCATTTATCGTTTGTGGACTTTTTAATGATGGCCATTCTGACTGGTGTGAGGCAATACCTCATTGTAGTTCTGATGTGCATTTCTCTGATAATTAGCGATATTGAGCATCTTTTTCATGTGCCCATCAGCCATTTCTGTGTTTTCATGGAAGAACTGCTTGTTTAGATCTTGTGCCCATTTTTGGATTGGGCTGTTTTTTTGTAATTAAGTTGTATGAGCTGTTTATATATTCTGGAAATTAATCCCTTGTCAGTCTCATCATCTGCAAATCTTTTGTCTCATTTCATTAGGTTTTTTTTTCTTTTGTTTATGGTTTCCTTTGCTGTGCAAAAGCTTGTAAGTTTAATTAGGTCCCATTTGCTTATTTTTGCTT